GGGGGGGGGGGAAAGGTTGCAAAGGGATTAAGATTAACAGCAAACCAGAGCTTTGTTCGTTTAGTAGAAATGATTTAATTGCATCCTCCATCTAATCCACAAAGCAAAAAAAAAACTACATGAAGGCAGAAATGAACCAGATGGTTTTGGTTGATTTTAGCTAAACGTTTTCAGGAAAAAAAAGAAAATATTAAACAAAAGTTGAATTTAATCTTTATTCTCTCTAATTATGTTAATTACATAAACTATCTAACACCTTGTTCTATCGTTCTTCTTGCAGAACTGTTGCTAACATCACCTGGCACAGGGATGTATTTGTTTTTTGAGAAAGCAAACAGTCAGATGCTTGGGAAGCATCAGGAACATGACAATTTCTTCCAACCAGCTCAATATGAAGACTGGGAATAAAATGCAGATAATGGTTCACTGGCCCCATGGCCCAGTTGGAAACGCTTTGCGTGCCTTCAGCTACAGCAGGCGAGCTTTATCCCAGCTACGGAGAAACAATAAAGCTCTTTGGGACTCTTTAGCCAGATTGAGCCTAAAAGGGTAGGACCAGGGGGGCTGGGTCATAATCACAAAGGTCCTTTTCACAAAGTTTTGTCTATCTGTGGTATAAAAGCTTTGTCCCTTCATAGAATCATAGAATTGTTTGATTGGAAAAGACCTTTGAGATCATCGAGTCCAACCATACCTGTCCACTACTAACCATATCTCTGAGCACCTCGTCTGCATGACTCTTCAATCCCTCCAGGGATGGGGACTCCACCACTGCCCTGGCCAACCCCTTCCAATGCCTCAGAACCCTTGCAGCAAAGAAATTCTTCCTCACATCCAATCTCAACTGCCCTGGCCACAACTGGAGCCCATTTCCTCTTGTCCTGTCCCTTGGGCCTTGGTTGAACAGACCCACCCCCACCTCTCTCCACCCTCCTCCAAGGGACTTGCCCAGAGCCACAAGGTCTCCCCTCAGCCTCCTTTTCTCCAGGCTCAACACCCCCAGTTCCCTCAGCCACAAGGGAACTCGGCACACTTGTGCTCCAGACCCTTCCCCAGCTCCGTTGCCCTTCTCTGGACACGCTCCAGCACCTCCATGTCCTTCTTGGAGTCAGAGGCCAAAAACTCGACACAGTATTTTGAGGTGTGGCCTCACCAATGCCGAGTACAGAGGAAGGATGACTTCCCTGGTCTTCCTGGCCACTCTGTTTCTGATACAAGCCAGGATGCCCTTGACCTTTTTGGCCACCTGGGCACAGTGCTGGTCCTTTCACCACAGGATGGCTCTCCATGGTAACCCAGTGGGATGATATCTAGCTTATGCTCCTGGAAAACACAATCAGACATCAGATCTTGTATCCTTAACAAAGTGTTAAGTCTCCAGTATCAAATTTTTAAGGGGTGTCCATTTTTCATATTTTTTTTTTAAACTCCTAATCCAAACTCGTGGTTTAGTTCCCCATCTCTACAAGTACTCTAAGAGCACCTTCCCAAGTAAAACTGCGACTGAACAGCATGAAAACTTACAAGTTTGACAGTACTAAAACCCCCACATCTGTGGGGTCACCTGGGTGTGTTAAGGACAACGGCTGAATTCTGGCTTCATTTCTTCACTTAGACTCTGGCAGAAAACTGGGGTAATGACAGACAAAAAACTTGAATCCACTCCCTTAGAACAGAAGAGGATTCCCTGATGGCACACAGCTCTAGTTGTTTTCTTAACTGGTTGGCTAAAATATTCCTCTGTCATTCCTACTAGAGTACTCCTCACAGTTTAAAGTCTTTCATTAAGTTACTGTTCCAGTAATGGGCTCATACGGGATGGAAAAGAAATACCTACATGTTACCTCTGGCTCTGGCACCAAGTCGTCTCTGGATGTCCTAGAAACTGTTCAGGTTGTAATGGGCTGCCTAACAATGCTGTTGTTGCAGTCAGCTGCACCACAGAAGTGCTTCCAAAGTACATAACCACAGGTTTCTGGTCTAGTGGTCCACTAATCCTCGTGTTTGTATCATGAGATTTCAGGAAAATTTACTGAGATGCAAGAAAGTAATTTTGTTAAGCACTTCTGCAAACTCGGGAGGACAACTGCATCATGTTAATCTCTTTGCAACCATTAGAGGTAGAAACTATGTGAGAGAAAAGTAAATCTTTGGTGAGAAATGTCTGGTGAAAGAAATGGAGTGACCAGGAAACAAGTTTCCTAAGAAAAAAATAAAAGAAAATCTAGGACCATACTTCCACAGTAACACACCTACACTTCTCTACATCTTCTCAATTTCAATCTCTACCACCCTGCAAGGACAGCTGCATCAAAATGCTATGCTTTATTTTTAAACAGACAGCCTAAATTATTCATATATGTTCTAAAATGCCCATATGCACCTCAATACATTACATACAAGAATACCCAGTGCAGCAGAGGTTCCGAATTTCAGCTCTTAAGTACTATATTCAAAAGTGCACACTCATAAATTCATCTTAGTGTAAGAACTCAACACCATTAACTAAAGGTGTTTTATATAATAAAGAGAACCTGCTCTTGCTTTCCATTACTGGAAATGACTTTCTACTCACCAGCTATACATTTGTTTTAAAAAAAGGTGAAGGAGTCAGTGGTCTGTCACAAGTAAGCTTGGAAGATTTATTATCCATACAGACCAAGCAAATATGGAATTACCCTTATACTAAAAGTGACCTTAACCAAGGAAATAAAGGCCACTTGAGCTGAAAGATCACTTATATTCACTTGGTTTATTTTATGCTGCCTCAAGCATATTTGCAATTAACCAGTGAGCACATACTTAACTACAATGCAGTTTAGCCAGGAGATATTTATAGCCTTTATGGTTTTTTAAAAGAGCCACAGCCTTCTCTTTTCTTTCAAAAACCTAGAAAAATTACCCTGAAGTTCATCCTAACAATTTTTCCCACTGATCTTGGAACTCATCTAATTACAGCAAACAACTCCTTTACTTAAATTTATCAAGAATCTTAATGTTTAAGAAATTCTACAGAGGAAAATGTTACCCACCACTTTATCTTAATTTCACTATACAATTTTAATATTTTCAGAAGCCCTGGCAGGGGAAGACATTGACCTGCCAAACTGTTACACAGCCTGTAAGACAAATAGCAAAATGCTGTCTAGATGGTATTAGTCAAGGAGTAAAAGTTTGTTTATGGTAAGGAGAACCTCCATCTCTTGATGACACCTGACAAGTTCTACCATGTACAATTACCACATGCCATGGTAAACACAGCTACATTCCTCACTGTATATGTGACATGATTACTTTACATTACATCCTACTTTATTTCAAGTTACTTTGAAATATCCTCCTTGCAATAAGCATCGTCACAAACCTTTAAAAATACTCCAAGCTATTTTTGGCCAGTTTAATACAAAAGAAGTTGTAAAAATAGAGTAGCAAACCCAAAGTTTGTTTTGTTGTTTTTTTTTTCATACTCCACAGTCAGGCTGTTTCTCCAGAAGTTGCCTTGTCAATATCTGATATGAAGAAAGAGATGCCACTCCTATGTGAAAGGCGATTTGCCAGAGGTTCCGTAACCCGTACAAGTAAATGTTGCAGAAACAAACAGAGAAAAAGAGTACAAACGTCTTCACCTTCCTCGCCGAGCTGTAGAAGAGGTACAAGTAACACTACAAAAGGATCAGAGAGACAGTGTTAGTATTAAACTATGGACATATAGACAAGAGACATGGCTGGGAACTGCTGGCACATCCACGCTGCTTTGGATGTGCCTCCTGTTGCAGTGATCACCATGAAGCTCAAAGTTGCCCTTCAACTCCTATGGTGAAAGGTCCTCCAAAAACAGCTGGAGCGGTGGCCTCAACCCAGACCCTCCTGTGTAAGCACAGATACCAAAAGAAGTGTCCTGGTTTTGCTAGGAGAGAGATAATTTTCCTTTTAGTAGCTAGAATAGCTGTGGTTTAGTTTCAGAGTGGGATTTGTTATGAGAAGAATGTTGATGAGGTACTAATGTTGTTAGGTTCTGCTGGAGCTCAAGGCCACCGTGTTTGGCTGGTTCACAGCTGCATTAGGACTGGGAGGGAGAAGTGTAGTAAATAGCAAAACCCCAAACTAGCATCTGGTTGTGCCAATGAGATATTCCAGATCATGTCACATCACGTCAGTATATTAACCAGGGTTGACCAGAAACTGGGGGGATTCTCTCAGGGATCATTCAGGTTCTCACTCTGCCGGGGTTTGGGTTTGGGGACTGCCTCTGCTCCGGGATCACTGGCTGGCACAGGCTGGGCATCAGTCAGTGGGTGGTGAGCAACTGCACTGTGCATCACTCAATTGTATATTGTTATTACTGTTATTATCATCATTATTATTTTAATTAGTAAATTGTTTTTATCTCAACCCATGAGTCTCCTCGCTTTTACCCTTCCAATTCTCTCCCCTGCTCCCTGGGGGGGTGGGGAAGAGTGAGAGAGTGACTGTGGCCACAAGCCAAAGGAATGAACATGAGCCATCACTGTGCCATTGTGGACAGAGAAGC